GGTTGTGAGCTGCCCTGTGGGTGCTGGAGATCAAACCCGGGTCCTCTGGAAGAACAACCCATACTCCCAATTGCTGAGCTGTCTCTCCATCCTCCGTGATTACTATCTCTGAGGATTTCGTACATGAATGCAGTATGTACGCATTCTTTCCATTCCCATCTCTCTGTTCCTTCAAATATCTTCTCTCAAGTTCTCTCGTCTCTCTCTCTCTCTCTCTCTCACACACGTACACACACCCTACTGAGTCTAGCTGTTTTTGTCCTTATTGACCCCTTACAACTGAGATCCTGTCTCTCAAAGTAAATCAAAACTGGTTCCTCCTCTCTCAGAGTATAATGAATAGTGGCACCTGTAGGTTGGAGTAATCAGCAGTGGTCTAATTGGTCCCAAAGGCCATTTAATGGGAAGAAAGTCATCCCTGGTACTATAAATCCAACCAAGAGCCTACGGTAGGTGAGGTCATAGACCCTAGAGAAGAACCTAGACCAGCATATTACTAAAACCATTAGCTTCATCCTTAGGCCCATACATATGTTCGGCCCTCACAGCTAATCAAAGAAGTTTCTTTCTTTGGAGGAAACTCTCCAACTGGTCAAAGTGCAGAGAATTAATGATTGTGGGATGCTCAGTCCCACATGGGACATCTGTAACACAACCCCTACACCTAAGGCCCAGGGAATGTTGAGGAAGTGGGGGTGGAAAGATGGTAAGAGCACAAGGACCAGGACAACTACCGTGAGGTAGTTTCTTCTGGACAGGCCATGTTGCCCCTTTTAATGCTCAACAATATGGCTGCCTGCATGAGCTGTGCAAAGACCACACCAGTCAACATGCCAGCTTGGAAAAAGGAATGCTTTACAAAGCCCTCCCCCTAAATGAAATGTCACTTCTATGTTGATCTCCTATCAGTCATTCCCTTTAAAAAGAGGAGCCAGGTGTACCTGTGCTGGGGGCCTTGTGGCTGCTGCTCGGAGCGTGGCAGACCTGGACTCCTCACCCTCTCATCTGCTTTCAAGCCAAGCATTGCTGATTTTCAAAGCAAAGGCTATGCTGGTGACGGAACAAAGGCTGACAGCTTTTGTGACTGTTTTGTTGTGCTGTGAAGTTCATTTACTCTGAGCAATTCATATAGTGTTTGAAGTACTCAGACCCTCATAATTACCGTTTAGCAGATTTGATTTCTCTGTTCAGATTGTGAAATATGTATGTGGAGTTAACTGATGAATGAGTGATTGGTTGGTTGGCTGGCTGGCTGGCTGGCTGGCTGGCTGGCTGGCTGTGTGGTTGGTTGGTTGGTTGGTTGGTTGGTTGGTTGGTTGGTTGGTTGGTTGGTTGGCTGGCTGGCTGTGTGGTTGGTTGGTTGGTTGGTTGGTTGGTTGGTTGGTTGGTTGGTTGGTTTGTACTAAAAATTGAACCTAGAAACTCATGAATGCTAGGCAATGGATGTACCCCAAGCCCTCTTTTTCCCTTTTAATTTTGAAACTGGGTTAGGCTCAGTTGCCCAGGCTTGGACTTTGAGATTCTTTCATGTGGTTGGGTTACAGGTTTGCACCAACGAGACTGGTTTAACTGACATTTTTAAGGTATTAGTATTTGGGATGGATGTTTTACTTACGTATTAGGAATGTCTGACCTCTCAGATGGGAAGGTTTATCTTTCAAGTCATCCTAATAGTAGGATAGCAGGTTATGAGTCTACAGAGAGATTTGAACCAAACATGGGCCATGTGACTGCTAGGCAGTGCGAGGTGGATGTTGCCATGTCTAGAGCAAGTAGGCAGAGAGTGTTTGAGTTTGGGGCCTGGTGGCTGTATGACTTGGTCCTGAGGGGCACACTGGCAGGGTCTATTGTGGCCTCACAACTCCAGGCCCATGAGCTCCCAAAAGGCATCTGGAAAATGGTGAACTCTGGGCTGTACACTTGGATGAGGTTTGGCATCTCAGTCAGCTTTCTGAATGAAAGAAGTTCCTGGATGCTCCCTATACTGTGGCATGCAATAGGACGATGTTTGGGTTTATAAACCAGTTATGCAAATGTCCGCCTTACCTGTCCCTTGCCATTTGTCTTTAAGACCAGTTTATATGTGGTTTTGGCCAAGGCCCCATTGTTGGATGCTATGAGGGCTTAATGATTGAGCTGGTTAGTTTCTGGCAGATTGACACTGACTAGAGGGGGCCTCAACCAAGAAACCAGCTCCATCACACTGACTACGGGTCTTGTCTGTGCTACATTATCTTGATCTCCAGTCCATGAAGGAGGGACTAGCCCACTGTGGGCAGGGCCACCCTGGGCAAGTGGTCCCAAACTGTAGAAGAAAGGTAGTTGAATGTGAGCCTGTTGGAAGCAAGCCGGGGAGCGGTGCTCCTGCTATGGTTCTTGCCTCTGCTTAGTTTCCTGCCCCAACTTCCCTCAGTGGTGGACTGTGATTGGGGAAACTAAAGACAGATAAACCCTTTCCTCTCCATGTTGTTTTTGGTCTTATTTATTACAGCAATAGAACGCAAACAAGGATAATGAGCTAATCCAATTTGTGGGCTTAGTTCAAGGCCTGCATGTCAGACACACTCGACTGAGTACTGGTTATTGTTCTTGTAATTATGAGGCCTTGTTACCCACTTTGAGAACAAAATACAAACCCTCAGACCCAACAAACATATGGCAGGTGCTTACCATCCTAGACCTGCTCTAAGCACGCCTACATGTGTTAACTGGTGGCAGCCGACAAGCCAGTAAGGGGCTGTTCCTGTTCCTATTTTGCTGAAGAGGAGATGGAAGTTTAGACAGGGTAGAAAGCAGCTGAAACAGGACTCAGTTCCAGGGGCCCCTGAGCTGAGGTCTGTGCCCTTTCATGCCCCGCAGAGTTGCTTTGCTGCTCTTGTGACAGTCACAGTATTCAGGCCACATGGTTGGCAGTGCAGACCTTAAATGTTTGCGAGAAGTCAATGGTGGAAGCACAAAGGGTTCAACTTCTCCAATGTCCGGCATGCACATCACATGGTGTGGCCGATGTCAACACCCACCAAGGAGGCCAGCCCAGCAGTCTCCGTCTATGAAAGCCACTGAGGCAGGAATTCCAAGTCTCAGCACCATTGACGTCTACTGCCTTAACTGGTCACTGTGGTGGAGTTGCCGGTGGAATAGTCTCCGTGCTTCCTGAGATCGTAAGTGGTGAGCAGAAGCGTGAGAAGAGACAAGGACAGACCGACATACTCCTCAACGGTGGTCCCATGCTAGTCCTTAATGGATGCCTTAGTTTTGAAGGCATCATAGAGAGCAGGTTGGGCTACACTGCAACCCAAGGGACTGAAAACGCCTCAGCCTCTTAACTCCCCATACAGTCACCTCCAAGAAACGAGTGATTTCCACACAGCCTTAAGAAGTTCTGCCTGCAAATGTCTGGGAGGCTCAGCCTTAGAGGACTTTCTCTGCTATTTGCCTCCCAAAGGCCATTCTCAGCTTGAGAGCTAGGAGCACGCCTTGCCTCGTTCCCTGGGGCTCAGACCAGCCTCTCTCTCATGGGAACCTGTGTTCTCCGTTAAGCTCCAGGCATCAGAGCATAGCCCTCTGGAAGCAGCCCTCTACCATGCGACTCCCCTCGGTTGGGAATCAGGATCTTGTTGCTGTCCAGACTGAAGAGTGTTGTTCACAGCTGCCACCCCTACCACGGGGGATGCCACCCTGACATGCTCAGCAGCAACGCCTTCCAGTGTTGTGGGTTCAGGACCCTAGAGAAATTCCCAGCAGCAACCTAAGGAAAGTGATGCGTGGTTTCCAGGCCTGGGTTGGGGGAGAACTGTGAAAGTCTGTGTGGCAGCTGGAACCTCATTGGTCGGGTAGATGGTTCTGCAGTTCCTGCTTGGAATGTCAGCCTGTTTAAGCAAATGCTTGTATAGGGGTGACGTGGGCAGCGTTCCTCCCCTGCCTGGGAGAGCAGTTATGAAAGATTTACTGCCTAATAGACTTTCATCCTGGAAGCTGGGGGATGGCACAGTCCCTTTTGTTTTGCAGAGAATCCCCCGGGGGGCCACTCTGTGCCCATGATGAGCACGTGGACCTCAGCATGCAGAGTGCTGATTAGCCAGGGGCCGGCTGCTCAGCTGATTCTAGAAAATGCTGCTATGTGTGACCTTGCGCCTTTGGGAATCCTTTCTGGAATTCTGGGTTTGAACCAATCCCCCCCCCCCAATCTCATTAGGCAGACCCACAGCTCCAATGGATGCATTGACTTTCCTGTGATTGCTCAGACATGTCGCCCCACGTTTGCTCGAGCTGCTCTTCCTGCCTGGCTTGTCTTTTCCATCTTTGCTTTGCAAAAGCCTGCCCATCCTTCAAGATTCAATTCAAATATTAATGCTTCACTAATCCTTGCCCTGGAAATTGATCTCTATTTTTCTCTCAAGCTCCGCTATCATTTTCCATGCCCATCACAGCCCTTATCTAATTCCGCCTTGCACAATAAATATTTATGTGCAGGCTTTTTCCCCTCCCACACTTACATCATAACTTTGTGTTGTACAAATTTCTTGCCCATCCTGAAGTTCTCAGGAAAAAAAAATACAACTAAACTATTCATGCATGAAGTCCATTTTTATTGAACAGGAGCAAATGTTGTTTTCAGCAAGGATTTGGGGTGTGTGTGATAGGAAATAATTAAAATTAAACATGAAAGAAGTCACACAAACCGACATCAGGCAATAAACAAAAAGAGACACTATTGGTATCTCCTTGGATCATGAATAATTGTGAAGGTTTTTTTGTTTTGTTTTGTTTAAGGAGTAATTCTTGCTTAGAATCATGGTGCTGAAATGCCTAGCACACAAAGGAATTGCTATCCTCATGGAGAGCTCTGCCTGGCTTGGGTTTTCTTTCAGTCCCCACCTCCCTCAAGAAACAGCACAAACATGCATCGCTGGTTTATCTTCTGCTTGTTTATTTGAGTGGTGATGGAAATGAAATGTCCCTGGAGGTGCTAACCCTTGTTCTCCTCCTTTTTACCTCAGCCCTGGACCCATCCAAGGACCCTTGCCTGAAGGTGAAATGCAGCCCTCACAAAGTGTGTGTGACCCAGGACTACCAGACCGCCCTGTGTGTCAGTCGCAAGCACCTGCTGCCCAGGTAAGGGGGGGGGGAAGGAGGTGGCTAGAAGTTAGGGGTGCTCTGTGCCTGGTGGCTCTGAAGCATCCAGGCTCTGACAAGGTACAGGTTGGACAAAAGGAGAGTAGTTGTTTGCCACCATTTTAAATGATCTATCACCTGAGTGTAGGTATGGCTTCAGATTGCCAGCACAGGTTTACAGAAAGAAAAAAAAAAAGACAACCAGCAATCCTTTAAAATTATTATTGCATATATGTCTGTGTATCATGTGTGTTCCTGGTGCCCACAAAAGTCAGAAGAGGATCTTTTTTTTTTCCCAGTCCTTTGGAAGAGTAGCCAATGTTCCTAAGTGATGAGCCATTTCTCCAGTTCTCCAAAGAACACCAATCTTAAGATTTAAAAAATCTTAATTTTGACTCTTGAGTCCTCATCTTACCAGAAAAGCCCCTTTCCATCATCACTGGGGCTCTCCTCTTTCCCCAAGGGACCCTGGTGTCCAGGAAGCTTACAGCCAAAAAAGTATGAGGTGGCCCTTCATTCTTATGATTACAGCTGACAGTGTGACCCTGATGAAGTACGGTTCAGAGGCATGAGTCTCCTGCAGCTTGTGTTGGCTTTATTGGCCCCAGTGTGATACCTAGGGCCATGCAGAATGGATACATTCCCTCTTAAGTTCTTGATGAAAGCCTTTGGAATCGGTCCCTTTAGCTCTTCCTGCTGGGACCTGTTGTAATTGTCTTTTGCCTTCTAACTGTCTTCCTATGAATTTTGCTTGAGTAGTGTCCCTCTCCTAAATTCAGTGCTAGCAGCTAAACAGAGGCTCCTCACTCGGAGTGACCCTCTGCCTCTGGTGCTGGTGATCTCAGACTTGGCCACCAAGATCTTCTGCTGTGCATTGCTTTCCATGTTGTTTTAAGAGCAACCAGCATCTGTGTCTGTAAGACCCAGATGAAAAGTGCTGAGATGTATGTGCCTGTTTCCTAGACAAGCGTTTCTTCCAGGAAGTCAGATGGGTCCTGACATGAAGTGTGGTTGATATTCCCTAGTGGTGATTCCATTGATGAAAACTGATTTCCCCTCTCCCTGAAGCTATCAATGGCAAATAGCTTCTTGGTAGAGGTGTGGCTTGGGCCCACTTCCTCTTCTCTGTCCTGAGGTTTGTCTACCTTAAAGTTCTGTGGGGCATAAAGGAGTAGCATGCAAAAGTAATTTTGTTGGTACCATATGAAGTTCTTTTTGAGGTACATACACTCTAAGAAAACCGCTTGTGATTTCTGCCCTTTAGAACGGAAGGAAGTAAGCCCTCATTAGAAGCAAGTAACAGAATGCCCTTGGGGATAATGTTCCAGGTTGTTCAACCATTTGGTCTCCTGTATATGTGTGTGCACATATGTGTGTATACACACATGGATATATATGTTGGAGAATCGTTCACATGCCCTTCCCTTGAATTTGCAGAAATACAAACTGAGAGATTTCTAGTCTTAAATTCAAATGTTTGAGACCAAGGCAGCCACCTCGTTGGTTTTCAGACATGCATCGAAGGTACTTCCGGGGCATGCCATGTATCTGAGCATCACTCTCATCTTATGTGGAAAGTGTGGTCCTCACCTCCTATATCTATGAAATTATAATAGCTCTGGGCATGGATTTGGGAATGAAAGTAATGTGGGTTCAAGTCCTCGTTGGATACTCCATGCCTGTTAAACTTGGGAAGTAAATTTGTGATTCTAAATTTGTACTCCTTCATCTGTTAAATGGATTTAATGTGCAGACCCAGCATATTTTGTGTGAAAGTTCAATAAGGGTGAATGTGTATAATGATGGTTTAATGTCAATACCAGCCATTCTAGCAATTAGTAAGACAATTATCATAATAGTTATCATTGTAATTCCGGAAGCTCAGCCAGACCCCTCCTTCTCAGCGCAGAAGCTCCTGAGAAAGAAGTGACTTCCCCTTGGGATTTCTGTCCCTTTCCCAGTCTGAGTGTGCTGCCTTCAAGCCTCTGAATCAGATCTCAAGGACTGTGGGGACATTTCTGCTACCACTTTGTGTTTGCAGGAGGGAAGCCAAAGAAAATGACTGCTTCTCTGATAATAGGGTCCATTCCTTACTAGAAAATAGCTCAAGAGTATGCTTTGGCTAAGAGATGGCGCACCCTCTTCCTCAGCAGGATATGGGAGGTGGCCTGACCCAAGGAGGCCTGTGTGTGGTCACTGTGGTTGTGTTCCCAAATAGCCTTCTCAGAAGTGGGGTTTCTTGGCCCTCGATAGTAGCCAAGTGTGTAACTCCCCAGAGGGTCTTGGATGCCTTCCCAGATGAAACATCTGTCCTTCCACATTAAACTTCAGGGGTTTTGTAGAGTAGTGGCAGCATGCTGGCAACTCTGTTTATTCACCAATCAGGAAAGTGCTTTTTCATTCTGCCAAACAACTGTGCCAGCCAAGCTGGCCCCTTGCAGCTCCAGGGGAAAACCTTGCTTCTAGAGAATGAGAAGCTGCTCACAGACCACAAAGCAACTGGGAGGCCACAGCTGATAAGGAGTCCCCAGATATAGACTTACTTGCAAGTAGATTAGGGGGCCAAGACCAGGGAGGTGCTATGGGCCTGGATGGCTTGTGAACTAAAGTGGGTGGAGGAGCAACTGGGAGCACAGGTCTGTGGCCACAGTGTTTCAGGGCTGAGCAAACAGTTCTGAAGGGTGGTGGAAAGGGAAGCATGCAATCAGGCCTTCTGCTGCTGGAGTCTCCCTGATCCCTTTAAGGAAGAGATCTGTAGCACCTTCATTGGAGGCTTCTGCTATATTCGCATCCTTCTCAGAGAAGTCTTGTGCGAAGTCTTTCACTTCTTCCTGCTGCTCAGCAGTGCTGCTGGGTGTCGGGGGAGAGAGGTTCACGGCCATATGCTCCTCTTTCCAGTCTCCATGGGATCGCTGCTGTACCACAGAGTACCGGATGTGCTCAGGTTGGCTTCTCTGTGATGACTTAGAAATTCTCAACCTCATTTTGGCATCACAGCTGATGCTTGTTATAGAAAATATTAAAAAATAAGTAAGGCAATGGTCACATTATTTAAATTCAGCAATTAAAATATTCCAACATGTTGTCTAGTCTTCTACTTTTTCTTTTCTCGTTTTTCGTTAAGATTTGTTTTTCTATTCATATTAGTGTTTTGCCTGCATGCAGGTGCTTGCACCACATGTGTGCCTGATGTCCTCAGAGATCAGAAGAGGGCCTTAGGCCTGCTGGAGCGGGAGTTATAGGTGGTTGTGGGTTCTGGGAACTGAGCAGGTCCCTCAGAAAAGCAGCCAGTGCTCTTAACTGCTGAACCATCTCTTTAGCCCTTGATTTTTCTTATTGACTTGTTTCTGTCAAAACTTATTTAACAAATAGTCTACATGCTGTACACATTTTGTGTTGATATTGATATATTAATACTTTATGGTACTATAAACCATGCTTAAAGTTTTTAATGATTACATAAACATGCTGCATAAAAATTCAACTTTAGAGGTGGGTTACATTTGTAAACACACACACTGAGTCTATAAAACTTTCAGAAGAAAATAATGTGAGATTTCTTTCCTTGGGTTTGATTAAGACTTCCTAAATGTAACTAGCAATTGAAATTTTACCAAATTGAACATGCCTGATGTTCTGTATATACACTTACACTATTTTTTTTTTTAATTACAGCATGCTGGGAGAAAATCTGTCAGAGAGTTTACTTTATATATGTACATATAAAAGTATTCTTATATATAGTTTATATGTTTATATTAGCTTCATTTAGAATCACACACAAAAAAATAAGAACTCAAGGTGAACTGACCAACCAATTGTGGCATATCCATTATAATTGATACTACTCAGCAAGAAACACAAGTAAGCTATTAGTATATCAAATAATCAAATAACAATCAAACAACAAAAATAAGTATGTAGTGTGTCATCTCCATTTCCTCCCTCCTGGAGCCAAACCAATTATGAGAAACACAGCCTGCTCATGCAGGGTGACAGAAAGCCTACCAGTCGCCTGGGGCAGAGGAGAATCTGAGAATGCAGGCAAATGGCTAAGCATCTTATAACTTATGGCCATAAGGTGGATCCTTTGAGAAACAGATAAGTCAGACTCCATCCTGGGATGCCAGGGACTCCATTTGTAACTGAGCTTGCTAGCAATGGAGGGGGGCGTGTTAGAACAACATCTTATCAGTCATTCTTGTCATAGGTTTTACAGAATCCTCTCTGAGGTATTTTTAAGGAGCACATTGTCAAGGGGATGGAGCCAGCAGAGCACTGGGTCTCTCTGTTGGTGGGGATTGGTCATCCTACTCTGCAGCTCTGTGGAGGTGGGAGGTGATGGGTTCTTCTCATGGAGGGCTAGTGGAACATTGATTTTTATCTCTGTCTTGCCATTGATTTTCATTTGGAGAATGGAAAACTGAAACGTTTGTTTGGGGCCTTCCAGACAAATCACATCCTGTGATTCTGCGGGAGTGTAGCGAATGGGGAGAAGATGTCAGAATGGAACTGACAATATCTAAGTGGACCCTTCAAAGCCTTGGGGAGCGGTGGGAACTCATCTATTTTTAAGTAGGGAGCGAAACAGCCCAACTTCCCAGGGGGCTGGGCCCCTCTAATGTAATGGCCCTTCATCTCCACTTCCTCACTATCTGGAATAACAACTAATTCTCTGTGCCAGCAAAGAATTTAGATGCCATCGAGGCTTTCGGTACAGTAGACCAATCTCAGAGCTTTCTCTCTTTTATGTGAACTTGAAAAAAAGAATCAAAGTGTCTAAGGTCAGAGAGAAACACATCACAGGATGTGCCTCAAATACCAAACTCTCAGAGGATATTTGAAAGGATGAGGTTATTTCATCTCAGTTTTGTTTTACAACAAAGCTCTGCCTCCTGCTACAGGGGCTTTGAACCAGTTGATTATACATACACATAGCTGTGGAGGTTTGGATGGCACGTGGCCACATGGAAGGCGCCAGGCTCCTAGCGCCTGGCTGA